TTTGCTTTAAAAAACTCCTTGTAGCTCACGTAGACCACTCGATTTTTATCTGCATGTCCAGTCGGCTGCTGACATTCTCTGTAAATATGACAGAGGCTTTGCATTTCACAGCCCCTCTGCGTCCCTCGCCTCGCAAAAGTCAAGGGGTTTTTTTAAAGGTATTTTTTTTTAATAAAAGCAAGAACTTTTTTTTTTTTAATCTCTTCTTGAACTTTATATTTTTGAGGAGAGCATCCCAGGCGCCACGGGAGCGGAGATCTCAGTGGGCAGGGAGAGAAGGGAGGGGAATTACCCAGTTCAGCTGCATCTGCCTGAGAGCACCCGCGTTTCGGGCACGGGCAAAGGTTCGGGAACTTAAAACAGCAACTTTATTGTTTCCTCTAAGCCGAGACTAACGCTGGGCTGGCGTGAACTGCCCTCCTGATACCCAACCAAATAGTGGCATCAAAGTGATTGCCTTCGCTGCCCTCCGAGAGCATCCTCGGTGTGGGAGCTTCCCGGATTGGAATCTCTCCCTCTGCCCACGAGCTGCAGCCGGCTGGTGAAGTTTTTAAACAATTTGCAAGTATTTTCCCCTTCTTTTTCTAAAAAAATTCCCCCCTGTGCTACATATTTAGCTAATGTCCAACTGCCTCGCACCGGTAAACTCAAACCATCTTTACCATATCATCGCTTCGCGCTCTGCAGTCAGTGAAGTCCTAAACACTTAAAAATGGAGTTTTTATACAATTTTACAAGTGTAGCCGAGGAAAAAAAATAATTGTCTCTACGGCTTTTCTGTCCGGGGTCGTTTTCCCCTTCTTCTACCGAGCAACTGGGCGCCTCCGGCCCCTCTAAATTGCCGAAAACTGGACTTTTCTTTCGCAGAAAATTTGGAAGCGTTTCTAGCTGTAGTTTTCCCATCTCCCAGTAGACGGCACAACAGCTCAATCCTTGGGATGCAGAACAGCCCAGCGGCTTTTCCCTTCTTTTTTTTTTTTTTTTTTTTTTTTTAATTAAGCAGCCAGAGTTTTACCCAGCAATTTTGTTTTATTGTTATTATTATTTAATGCAACGAGAAGTATAGGAATATCAACAGGCAAGAGAGAGGGCTTGGCATAGGCAGGGAGTACAGAAGTGCGGGGAGTAGATGGGCTAAAGGCAGGCAGGGACCGTCGCGAACCCCGACGCGGAGCAGCGCTTCCAAATTAACCCAAATGAACTTGTAACGCCTAAATCGTGAAAGAAAAAAAAACCTCAACAACCCCAGCACTATGGTGCTGCCGGGCTCTGCGGTTATTTTGGGGATTTTAGGCTGAAATTGTCTATTTGTAGTGTGAGATAGGAAGGGCAAGGCTCAGGTCGGCTCTGTGCTGCCTTGCCCGGGCTACCCCGAGGTGCCACCGCGGGGGAAACCTGGCAGCCGCCGCAACTTTTGTCCCTGAAAGGCTCCTTTGGTGTGCGGGTACCTCCACTCCCGCCGCTGTCACCGCTGTCACCGTTGAAGTCACAAAAAATCCCGGCCAGTAACTCATTTCCCAGTTAATTTTATTAAAAAACAATATATATATATATATGTAGCTGTGTTTAGAAAGTTTTAAGACATCCGTAAATTTTATTGGGAAGTATTTTATGAAGCCCTCCATTTAATTAATCAAAATCCCCCATAACTTCTGCAAACGTCAGGGCCGGCCGTGGGGGGGGAGCGGGCAGTCCCCGTTCCCGGTTCCCCCGTTCCCCCGCAGCTCCCCGGGCCCGGGCTGTGCCGGCGGTGGGCGCAGGGCAGCCCCGGCTGTCCCCGGGCTGGCTCTCTGAACGGACCCGTCGCTCTTTTGTTTTTCTGCATCGGGAGCTAGTAAACAACCCTCCCCCCAAATCCCGGCGCTGCGCTTCATCTGCGCGCTTAAACCCCTCGCATTTAACCTCCTTTTATGATCACACGCACCCCACCCCCCACTCCGATCTGACCTTTAATGGGCTTTAAACAAGTTCGGGTTTCCCCCCCTCCACCCTCCATCCCTCTTTCAACCGCTCCATCAGGCTCTGACTTTTCGGGTATCTCCGCACGTATCGCTCCCCCCCTTTCCTTATCTGAAGCATTCCTGGATTATCTCCCGGCCGCCTTTTCCAATGCTTTCTTCTGCGGTTTCTTGTTTGTTTGGCTCTTCTGGTTGTTCCTATTTCAGTTTTCAGATTTCGGTATTAATGGTGAAAGAGCACACTTGGATGCTAATTCTGCCCCCATCCCCGTCCCCAGTCCCCCCCTTCCTCCCCCCCCCAGTCTCTGCTAGGAAGGCGGCAGGGAAGCCTGCTAGAAACCATTTGATTGTTCCTAGGTATGACTAATTCTTTCCTTAAGCTGGGAAATGCAGCCTGATTAAAAGCCTCATTTATTATCCGATAAGCAAATGGACCCAGATTCCACCTCGTGGAGGAGGCTCCCTCGCTCCCCAGACGCCCTTTTTTTGCCTCAGCTCGGAGGGTCCCTTCCCCAAAGGCCCAGCCCGGGTCGGGGGGGGCCGCGCAGAGGGCGCGCAGCGCTCCGCGCTCTGAGCCGAGGCCGCTGCTCGGCCCGCCGCTCCCGCCAGACCCCCTCGCTCTTTCCTCATTGCTTTTGCCTTATCCCTATTCCTCCCCATCGTCCCCCCCCCCCCCCCCCCGCCGCCCCTCTCACTCTTTTGCGATGGACAAGCGTAAATAGATTCCTGCAAAACAGCAAGTTTTGGGAAAAAAAAAAATAAAAGAGGAGCCTTGCCTAAAAAGGTGGCGGGGCGAGATGCTGTGCGGGTCCCGCTGCCGCTCAGCGCATCAGCCGCGGCAGAAGTTTACCGGGATAGCGCGGATCTGGCCGTTTACTTTTCCCGTTTAATAGATGATTAATTGCTGTCCGGATTAGCCTCCCCCCCTTTTTTTTTTTCCCCTTTTAATTCTGGCCGGCCTCTCGCCGGCGGAGCGGCGGGCAGAGCAGTTCCTCGCAGCGAGCCCTAAGAGTAATAACTGTTTGCTAATTGTAAAATCCTTATCCAGGATGAGGTTTGGGCAAACAATTTGTAGGGCTGTAATTACATTGTAAAAGTGTTTCGGGCTCCGGATTGCGCTGAATTAAGCTCATAAAGGCCCGGTGAGGACGCTGAAAAAGGGCCTTTGGGTTTTTTTTTCCCCTAATTTCTTCTTTTTTCGGGGAGGAGGGGGTGAAGGAAAAAAAGTATGAGGAGAGGAAGAGAAGCATCCCTGGGAGTTGAGTCGAAGCAACCCTCTGCAAGGGACCGCTGCGATGGGGAAGCGTTCCCGAACGCCGTTCCCGGGGGAAATCAACAGGGAGATGAACCCCACGCGCGTCGCTCGGTTGGGTGGGTTGGGAGGGAGAGTCAGTGTATGAAAACGGCTCTTACCTGAGAGGTCTGTATTTCCCTCGCCGGGATAAAAGGCCGGTTCCTAGCGGAAAAGGGGCGGGAGGGAGGAAAGGAGGGAGTGGGGGAGATCATCGAAACGGGTTTCCCCGAAGTTTCAGACGTGGCGGCCCCCGGGGCTCCGGCAGCAGCGGAGCAGCGTCCCCGAGGGTTTTAGCGGGGGGACACCCCTGTCACTCCCCCGTATCCTCCCGGAGGCCGGAGGGTTCCCCCTCTTCCCAGGGGGGAGATGCGATAGTGCCGGGGGGGCAGGTCTCCTCGCAGAGCTCCCGCAGGTACGGGAGGAAGGGGCACGGCGAGTTCTCCGCTCCCGCACCGGCGGGGCTGCGGGAAAGGGAGGGATGGCTGTGCTTTGGGGACGCGAGGCAGCGGGCCCCCCGGCTCGGCGGGTGGAGGCACCGGCGCGGCGGGCGGGGGGAGGAGGGCAGTACAGCACGGCCGCGGAGCCCGGCGGAGGGGACAGGGCTGGGAATAGGGCTGGGAATGGGGCTGGATGGGGACGGGGATGGAGCGGGCGGGGCGGGCCGCGCCATCCCCTTCCCCCCCGTCGGCGGCGCACCATTCCCGAGCCCCGCTCCCCGCGCGGACCAATGGGGGCGCGGCGCGGGGCGGCGCGGCGCTGATTGGCCGTTGGCGGCGCGGCGGCGGCGGCCGGGGGCCGGGTGAGCTCACTCGGCCGGCGGCCGCGGGGGG